ATATTCCTACACCTATGAGCTGAGGCCTTACCTGGACTTGCTGCTACAGATCCTGCTCATCGAGGATTCGTGGCAAACGCACAGGTCAGACTGACGAGCAGCTCTTTAACGTGAGTGTGGAGTTGTTTTTAAGTGAGATGATTGGTTATGGTTTTTCTTTGTCTTCAGGATCCACAATGTGCTGAAAGGCATTCCTGATGACAGAGATGGGCTATTTGACACCATCCAGCGTTCGAAGAACCACTACCAGAAACGGGCTTATCAGTGCATAAAGTGCATGGTGGCCCTTTTTAGTAACTGCTCTGTGGCATACCAAATACTACAGGTACACGGTCTCCACCTGATGAATTTAATGCCACAAAAATAAGAGATTACCAATGATCTCTTCAGGTACGCGTGTGCTGCTCGTATTTTATCCGGTTTGTACTCTTGCAGAGTAACGGGGACCTGAAGCGTAAGTGGACATGGGCTGTGGAGTGGTTAGGAGATGAGCTGGAGAGGAGACCATACACAGGAACTCCCCAGTACACCTACAACAACTGGTCTCCTCCAGTTCAGAGCAATGAGACTTCCAACGGATATTTCCTGGAGCGCTCACATAGTGCACGTATGACACTGGCCAAGGCCTGTGAACTCTGTCCTGAAGAGGTAATGGCTTTTACAGTGCACCATTTGTTCCTTCAGTTTTGATGTTTAGATGATTAGCAGAAACACCAAGATAAAGACTGTCGTGTCACTAAACAGCAGCTTTTAACAGAATGTGTTTGTTTAATAATATAAAGAGAATATTTGACCAGGAATGTTATTGTCAGTCGCCATAATTGCTGTTGAACCATTGTTAAGATTATGTCAGTAGTCATGGATTGTGTACTGTTCATTAGTTGTTTAACCCCTAAAATGCAATAATATTGTAAGTCAGCAAAAAGAAGTAATTTACTAACTTAGTTTAGCTCTTCAGTCGTTTACTAGGCTGCATATGTGTTGTTTTCTTGGCAGCAGTTTCACATTACACGCATCTATAATTCTGTTGTTCTCACTTCAGATGAGTTACTTGTATTTGTCATGATGAAAAAATTCCAGTCAAATGACACACTTCTCCTGTAATATTCCATATACAGCTCAAGTGTACTCAGGGAAGCCCAGGGAAGGTCAGTATTCCAGGCACCACAACATAAAGGAAGGGAATTAAACAAAAACTCGGCAGAGAAACACTGAGCAGTGGATTAGTGTTTAGATTAGATACTTGAGTATTCAATAGTATTTAGATTATTTTAGTTCTTCTTCAGGCTACTGAAGCCAACAGATTAACATGTTATCCTCACTTCTATATAGGCCCAGTTTGGCTAAATTGTCTCTTACCATACACTCATTTTTATCTATACATATTAGAAGGTACACCTGTCAGCAATATTTATTATAATTCCTTCTTTTATTTAAGTTATTAGTAGAAATTGCATCCAAAGTGCATGTGGTCTATAAGGTTAGTGTACAGAGTGTTTTGAGAGGAAGCTTGTAGGTGTACCATCACAGAAACAGCCTAATCTCATATGAACCTGTCAGTGACACAGTTAGAAAATGACTTTTCCCAGAAGCTTGTTTTCACACTAAAATGCCAAGCCCAGTGATTTGTGTCAACATTTTATCATATTTTCTGGTGGATATTAAAAATGCCCATGACAACTTTACCCTTCTATATTGCAGGAGCCAGATGAACAGGAAGCACCTGATGATCAAGACTCCTCCCCTCCTGAGGACACCTCTCTGTACCCCCACTCTCCTGGAACCACCCAGTTTCAGCAGGTAGTGCCTCAGAGTCCACAAGCTCTGGTGGTAGAAAGATGTTCTGGTTGGTTTCACGCTGTTTGTGTCCAAACTGGTAAAGCACGTTTTAATGATGCACCAGCGGTGCCGGTTTCTCTTGGTTAGTGTACTCAGTCCGTTATCGGTGTCGATAGGCATTGAAATAAAGCACTTTTGTATTTTCATGCATTATTTTGCGCTTGAGTGCCTATAATAAGCAGAGTCCAGTCATTTTATAATGATGCGACCCTACAGACAGCCTTGCATGCCTCTGTCCTGGCAATACACAAGCCATACGTTTGTTGTTTTAAATGGTAAAGTTATTAAAAAACATAAAAGCATTCGTCTTTTAACTTTCTTAACCTAACAAAGTAGTTTGTGCATGTAATATCATTTACTACTCTTAAATCTTCTACTGACAATATTTTCATTATAAAATGTTTAACAAGTATTTTATTTGATTAAGTTTTGTGTATTTTTGGATCGTTAGAGGCCTGTTTGTTCTAAAGCCAGCATGTCACTCAGCAGGATCATGACAAAAAATGGTTGGAATGCCTGAATTGCAACAGGTGTTCTCTATAGCCTGGTCACATGTGGCATAATTGCTAAGAAACTGAGACAGTTGTGCAAGTTTTCTTGCGATTAAAGCTGCTATAGTGAATCTACAGAACAAACCCAGTCACTGAACACTCACCCCTCCCCTCGGGTATCTTCCCTGGATCCGCTTCCACCGGAACCAGAAACCTACATTAGGATACAAGAGAGCGCTAAACACCAGTCGCCGTTTTCTACGTCCAAACGCCTTTTGTCTGTGACTTCAATTGATGTTTTTCTTTTTGGGTAGTTTGTCCTCAAGTTGAAGTGGTAGCAGCCGTCTGTTTCTCCTCCTCTGTTACTGAGCGGAAAACCTCTCACACCAGCAGTGTTCTGTTACTGAATACGTGAGTGTGTAATGAGTGGAGGACCCAGGGAAGAGCGGTAGTTCTGCGAGACAGAAAACTGGATGGTCCAATCGGTCCGAAACGTGTTGTTGGTGGTTTTTAGACTAAAGCAGCAGAACCACTTTATAATTATTTTTTGTTTAGTTTTTATCTCCAATCTTCAATCCATTTATAGCTATTCTGTGTTAAAACGTTGTTAAGAGGCATGAAAACATGTTTTAAGCTCATTTGTTTTTCGATTTGACTATTGCAGCTTTAAATCACAACGTGTCTTATTTATGTTTCAGTCTGTTTGCAGTTTGTCCCACCTGTGTGGGACACTGCATGTAGAAGCTCAAGTGTCTCTGTGTCACCCGGCTGCTTGGCAGGTTTAAAACCTGAAACAGCTTTGTATGAACAAAGTATGTTTGAAGCACCTAAATGCACTCTGATCATGATGATGTCATTCTTCTCCCACACAGAACAACCACCCCCATGGGCAGCCATACACTGGGCCTGCTGCTCAGCACATGAACAACCCCCAGCGTCCTGGTCCTGCCTCTGCTCCAACTCCAGCCCCAGCCTCAGCTCCGGCCCAAGCCCCAACACAGACCCCAGGCCCTGGTACCACTTCTGGCTCAGGCCCACGAGCACAAGAGAACTGGGAGGGCACTGAGGAGGTCACCCCCACCCCAACCACTACCCCAGCGCCTGCCCCACCTAAAGAATAACCCCCCCTCATGTTTCTGCTGTGCCTCGAGCCTCCATCGTTCTGCTCTCCTTCCTCATCCTTCGGTAAACTGAGCTCCACATTAGGCGTTTCTGTCTCTTTCTTGTTGGCCCCAAGGCAGGGCAGAGCCAGGCCTTCCATCTCCTCTCCCTCAGCCTGATGGAGGCACTCTTCCCTGGCCTGGAGCTGCCTGACGGAGCGACGGGAGGCCTGCTGGTGACTACAGAGATGAAGGAGTGGACAACGTTCTGACAAAAAGAAACAAAATGACCCAGAGATGACGATGCTGACACACTTATCTACACAACGAAAAGGTGTACATAGTATGTTAATGTTTCTGACTGTTCAGATCCCCCAGTAGCATAACTCTGTGGTTTGCTGATGGGAGATGTTGCAGATATAATTAAAACAAGATGGATATAAATAAGAGAAAGTCCCAAAAAAACAAACCAGTAAGAAGATGACTCCTCTTTGTTTGCTCAGCAGTAAAGTTTGTTCTACCATTGGACGGTATCTGGTCATTCAACTGTAGAAGGACATGTTATCATAGTTCTACCTTATCGACTCACGACCTGTGGTTGGTTTTAGTGTGAGAACGGAATGTTTGGGTGGACTTTCATGGTGTTTGGTTGATGTGAAAAAGCAGTGATGCAACATTGTTCTAAAACCCATTGCCTTTCTTTCTTTTTATTTTGTTTTTTTGTTTGTTCTGGTTATTAATTCAATCCTTTCTGAAGCTCAACTTAATATGCTGTAACATTTAGCATGGCTTCTCACCAAAATAGTGTAGCCCAAGGGAAGACTTGTGATCATAACAACCTGAAGCTGTTCTTAATCCACATCTCCAGAGGGGTGGTGGTTAATTTAGGGTTTTTTTTTGTGTTGTTTTTCTACTCATCTACCCTATCTTTGATGAGGGCGATATTTTGAACCAATGTATAAGTGGCTTTTCAATTGCACATTGTAATCCTCCAACTTCACATTTGGCAGTCAGTTTTGGTGGGTTAGACAGCTTAGCTTTCATTTATAGGAATCCAGAAAGGTGAACACATATGCAACAGGATTGCTGCACTGGGCTGTCTGGTGTATTATAGACCGTGTGGTTTGCTTCTGTCTCTTTTTAGAGCTTAGTTGTAGACAGACTTGTTGCCCATCTGCTTCCTCTCTGCCGTGGAGCCGGTTCGGTTGGTGTCTGGTTGAGGTTGGGACTGATTCCAAACAACAGCGAGACCCCCGCCTCACCCCACACTGCTCCATGGTGAGAAGGTCCCACAAGCAGGGTTTTACCGCAAGAGTAGAGACTGGTTAGTCATGTTTCAGCCTGAGCTAACTTGTAGGAGTAAAAGGTAAACATCAGTAAATACTGTATTTAATTGGTAACTTGAATGCGTGTATTTTATTTTTTTTGTCAAAAACATACCAAATACTCCTGCAAATGAAAATATTCTGCCCACCGTATTATATTTAAATATTTTGCTCTTATTTTATAGAATTTATTTTGTTGTATTTCACTAAAAAATAGAATTTGATTTAAGAGGAACATTTTTGTCCTTGTGTTATTTTTAAAGAAGATTGACTGTACAGAGTTCTGCGCCCTGTTTTTTGCCGACTTTTGTTTTGGCCATGGTGTGACGTTGAATTCTGGAGCTACAGTCGCGATGTGGACTTTCACTTTGTGAGGTTTTTTTGTGCACAGAAATATAACAAAAAAAGCATTGCGCCCTTAGCAAATAAAGAACATGGAACCTTGTTTGAGTCTCATTTTAATTGTCCTCGTTCAAATATGAATGGATACTCGCTGCTGCTGAGGTAATAAATACTTAATTTTATTCAGAAATGTTTGAGAGGATGTTTGCATTGTTTTTGGGTCTTTGCATTTGACTTCATTCACACCTGACGTTGACTTCCTGTTTAATACCAGGAACATCTTCAGGTGAACACACCTGTTCTGTGTCATCGACAAATCTGGAAGCAGGGTTTTCTCCCTTTGTAAAGATAGTTGGTGCATTTTCACCTTCCTTACAGGATAGGTTACTGTCTGCTTCTATGTACAAACAAGGTTAATCGCTGACTTTTGCGCCATCTAGTACATAGATTCAGCTACTGCAGCTTACCTATTGCACACAATCCAAATACTGGTCTGGTTCACTTAGAACACAGGTGAGATTTGGAAAAAAATGCATGGTGCAAAAGTTTGATTTCAGTAATCCAACTTAACCCTCAGGTGTCATTAGGGACATTTTTGTCCAATTGGGAGTTTTTTTGCTTTTCTTTTAGACGCTATTTCGCAATTGTTTGTGCATATGGTACAAAATTCTGCCCCAAAACCTCTGGACGCATTTTGAAATTCAGTTTGGAATTTTGAAAATAGATATAAAAAAACACTAACCTCTTGTAACCTTAGGGAAAAAGTCAGCTTGTAAAAGTGGCTATAAAAAAATGAATGCATTCATTTGTTTTGATTTTTTTGTTGCTTTTTTCATAATCTGTAAAACAACTTCAGCTCTTCCCAAACATATAAAAACTTACAGTATTTTGAGGATTTTAACCCTCTGTTGCTACAATAACTATTGATGCAAATCTTTTTATATTTCAAATAATTCATAAAATAACAAAACTGATAACGAATGCCCCAGAAAGAGAAAGTAGTCTTTTAGAAAGTAACTTTTTTTCTCATAAATTGCAACAATGACTGAGTAATCAAACTCAAAATAATGGAAGCTTTTGTGTTTGAGCAGAACTGAACTTGTTTAACAGATCTATGAAAAGGTTATAACGAACGTTGTCCTCTGAAGACTCAAATGCAGTACAGTGAAGCCTGAGGGTTAAACCGACACCATCTAAAGCCCGGGTATTAAGTTCTAGTCCTGGAGGGTTGGTGTACAGCACGTTTTAGTGGTTTCTCTGCTACAACACACTAGATTCAGTGGTTGAATCGCCTGTGCCACAGCTCATTAGGCTCTGCAGAAGCCTGTCAATCACCAGCTGATTAAAACCAGGTGTGATGAAACAAAAAACGTGCTGGATATCGGCCCTCCAGACCCAGAACTGAAAACCCCTCATCTAAACGCCCAAGAACCCTTTGCAGGCGTATGGAAATGATCACCTGATTAAATTGTGACACTTTTCACAATATGCTAATTGATCATCTGTATTTGGGTTAGGGCTCATTAACCACAAGCCATAACTATGACAAAGCCTTGAAATGTCTCACTTTGCATGGAATGAGTCATCAGTTGATTTACAACTGAACTTTTGCAGGACCCATTTGGTTTCCCCTGTAGCAGCAGAGCAACCATGAAAACACTCAATACAACAGCCACAGAAAGCAACTCTGACCTATGAAGCTCAATGTGAGACAGCAGTGTCCATTTCCTTTTAGGCAAGTATTACACAAGCCACAGGCAGTGGGATCGCCTCATATATTAGCAGCAGACCCGTTTCCAAACTGGTGAATGAATGCCAGATTACTCGATCACTGCAGCACCACACTGAAGTTTCTATACGTTTACAATCAACCCAAAAATTAAGCAGCAATCAGATTATTTTTGGAAATGTTTTATTAACAAGACAGTCATTTAGTTCTCCTTTTCCTGGACGGTCTTTGTTCCACGCAGTCTGCCTGTACGACGGGCAGCAATAAGACCAACCTTGCGACCAGCAGGAGCGTCCCTCCTGATTGTTGAGGGTTTGCCAATATGCTGATGGTTACCACCACCAAAGGGATGCTCAACAGGCTGCAGAAAAATGTGAGGGAATAGGAAAAAAACAAAAACAAGATTTAGAAACTACAAATTTAGGATATTGAATTTTAAAGAAATGTACATATCTAGACCCACATGTTCACAAGCATTTTAATTCCCTCCTAGATTATAAATTATAGATAATGGGTCACTGTGGTCACTTACGTTCATAGCCACACCACGGACACGGGGCCAGCAGTTCCTCTTGGCCTTGTACTTGTGGTAGGCTCGACCGGCCTTCAGTATAGGCTTATCAATACGACCACCTCCAGCAACCACACCTTAACCACAAGAGAAGTTCAGGCAGAGTCTTCTACTAGTTTAATACAAAAGCCACTCAGAACTTAAGCGTTTCTTACCGACGACAGCTCTGTTGGCAGAGGAGATGACCTTCTTGGAGCCTGAGGGCAGCTTGACTCTAGACTTCTTGGTCTCTGGGTTGTGGGAGATGACGGTGGCGTAGTTTCCAGAGGCGCGGGCCAGTTTGCCTCTATCACCAGGTTTCTCTTCCAGGCAACAGATGATGGTTCCTTCAGGCATTGTGCCAACGGGCAGAACATTACCGATGTTCAGCTGAGCTGTGGCGCAGGAGACAGCGAGAACACGTTAAACTGATAAATCAACCAATAGATCAAAGGCACTGAAAACTTAATCTGCTGGAGGAATTTAGGGAGCCTGACTTTTGCTGTGCTAAAAGTTTTATACTTGATAGAAATACTGGACAATAAACCTCTCTGCAATCAATTTCATGTTTCATAACTTTGCTCCCAGACTCTGAACAATTTAAAACCTACAGATAATCTTAACTAAAATAGAAAATGCAATTTAATAGTTAATAGACAATAAAATCAATGCAGTACATTTATAAACCAGATTACAGGATCTAACCCTTTAATTCATTACAAACAGCAAACCATAAATGGGCACCAGGTCTCATGAAACAAAGATTGGTCAGTGTTTTAGTGTCAGCTGAGGCTGCTGCATAGAGAGCTAATCCAAAATGCCAGAATCACTGAAAATCTCTGCTTCATTTCCCCAAATGTGGTTCCACAAGCGAACCTATCATGATTGTTAAAACTGCCTTAACTTCCTTTCAGCTGGTAACACAATACACATGCTAAAGGAAATACTTTATTGATGTGAGTACAGATTTTAACAGCTTGTACTCTGGTCAGTAACCCCTTCTTTCCACCGGAGCCGTCAGCAGCACATTACTGCAGCAGCACGTCTTGCTCGCGTAAGCTGCTGCTTGGCCCTTCCCACGAGACGCGAAGCAGCAGGGGAGCAGCTGTCACCGACCGAGCACGAAGTCACACGAGTGACTTCGTCAGTAAACACAACAACAAGCAGGAGAAAAGTACAACATGGCTCCAAAAGGTTTGTGTTTTATGTTCTGTCCGTTTTATAATCGCCAATACGGACCTGAAAAACAAAGGAGACCGCTAGCTAGGTGATAACTTCTCACGGAGCCGCACATTTAGTAACTTTTTTTTAAAATAAAGCAACCGGAAGGCAGTACGTTTCTTTATTCAGAAAATCTCGGGAGCTTCGCTCCGTTTCCGTGTGCGATTTCCTGTCTTTCCTTCCCCAAAAATGTTGAACTTGACCCGTTTCAGAGGCGTCGCACGTAGAAAATCGAACCGGCGCGTAAAGGCCGTGACATGCTGCTCCTGAGACGCGGCCGACTCGCGCTGCTGATGGCTCCGGTGGAAAATGTTCTGTTAACCACAGCGGTTCCTATCAGCAGCTACGACGCGCTGCTGCAGTAACGTGCTGCTGACGGCTCCGGTGGAAAGAAGGGGTAAGAGTCCATGCTTCTTACTGATATTTAGGTTGGACTTCCACAGACCAAAGAACAGCGTGAAAACTCAAAATAAAAATGCTGCTTTCATGTAGGGCTGCAACAAACGATTATTTGGATAATCGATTAATCGGATGGGGTCTCGACACGATTAATCGATTAATCGGATTACATAGGGACATTTTTTAAAACTGCTAGGGAAACGTTATTTTTCTCCTTCCTTCCTTCACTTAAACACAACATTATTAGAAAACAGTTCAATAGCAGAAAACCAACATGCCATCACCTAAATTGTCTTATAAGGTGTATAGACAGAGACCTTAAGCTACACCTATCTGTGACCTAAAATGCTTGGTCCAAGTTAAACAGCTTAAAGAGCAAGTCAACCCCTACCAGAGTCTAACTCCACTCCCGCTTCATGTTTGAAAAATGCAACACATGCTGTTGCCTGGCAGACCGAGAGGGCGGAGCCGCTAACAAATACACACACACTCAGGCTCACGACAGCATTGTGACATCATAATGTACCAGTTTACATCATAGCATACTTCTTAACCAATAGCGGTGGCAGATTTAAATTAAAATACAGTGCAGAGTTTTTACCTGACAACGGCACAACACTGCCAGTTTTAGGCAGAATATTTAAATTTTAACTAAGATGCACTGAAGTGCCAAATTATTGACGACACGTGTCTGCAGCACGATTAGACACTCGTTTATTTAGTTTATCAGCAAAAAAAAGTTTATCTGGGGGTGACTTGCTCTTTAAGGGCAATTCTCATCTGTTTTGTTTGATCTCATCTGTAGACATTTATTATAATTGGGGATGTCAAACAACTAATTTTTAAATGAAATTAAACATAGGCTGTGAATTAATCACTATTTCCAAAAATGACTGAAAAATACCAAATAAAACAAAAGTAAATGAATGCCATTCTCCTTGTGATGATGCCCTGGGCAACTGCCTTAAAGTCACATCAAGAGATGCTGCTGATCATTCCAATGATCCCAAATAGACTCACATTAGGACACATGAAAGCAACTGAACCCAAAAACATATTAACCCTTTGATGCATGAATTATGAAATCTTCAGCCATGATTTTTTAACAATTTTTTTCATTCATCTTTAGGTGTGAATGAAACAAATTTCAACAAATATTTTTTGTAAAATTTTATAATTTACAAATAATTTATTACAGGTCCACCTTAGTGGACCACGTGCATTCTGAACATGAAATATGTTGGCTTGACTTACTGAAGTCCAAATGGAGGGGCTCAAATACAATAAAGTCTTCAACAGCTGTGCTTAATAGCAAAAACAAATAAATAACAATTTTGAGTACCTGTCCACTGTAGTGACCATTATGCACCAAAGGGTTAACCAGTATATAACTACACGCACACAACACGCCTGCAGCAACAGTTAGGACTCCTCCCTCCCTTTTAAAAGCGTTTTCGCTTGTGAGAACACTGAGGTTGTAAAGCCACATGATAGTAGTCTGGCCCCGGTGTGATCAACCAGTTTCTGCGGGAATGTGACGGCGGAACCGGTTCGCAGCGGCGCGAGTCCCCCCCCGCCTATCTAATAGCGTCGCGCTTACAATTTTATAGACTTTTTTACGAGCTTAGGGCATGTCTAGCCTGTGTAATAATCCGGGGCTTGGGTGAATCACTTTTGAAAAGTTTTTTACTTACCCGGACACCGAGCTCTCTCCTTCCTCGCTGATGATTCTGACATGCTTGCGTTTAAGACGCTGCATCATCACCGTAGTATCCCCGTGCCATACTAAGTCTGACCTACAAACGTTGCATGTCTTCGCCTGATTTAACTGAAAATGCTCCCAAACTTTAGAAGTTTTTACTTTTTTGGGGTCTGGCTGCTTCTGCCATGTTCCTCTTACAAACACCTGCCGGCTCTCCACCGGTCTGCGCGCAACGGCGGGCAGGAGGGTAGGGGGCTTTTGGAAGAGTTGCGCAACACAACGAATCGATGACGCAATTCGTTGCCAACGCTTTTAGTAATCGATTTTCATCGAATTTATCGATTCGTTGTTGCAGCCCTACTTTCATGTTTAAGTTAAATCACAGCAGAAGAATGAACAAAAGAGTTTAGCAAAAAAACAAAACAAAAACCTTAAATATTCAACCTTATGGCAAATACCATATTTGTTTTTAATTAAAAATAAATTTTTCCCCCTCTTGATGTGTAATACCAGTGCTCAATGTGTATTATGACAAACGGCCTACTGCATTTAAGACTTAAGAGTCACATGACCGCCATGAACTTATCTTCTCAAAACTCACTGCTGCTCAGCAAAAGACTATCTCTCAAAACATCCAGACTCAAGGAACCGAACATAAAACAACATAAAAGGTGAAAACCCGAACAAACATGTGGAGAAACAGAGCTGATGTGGATTCTCGGCGATGCCATGGTAACTAGTAAACAGCGCCAGCTACACGGCTTTAATCAAGCAGCTGGTGGTTTTTGTTTTAGCTATGATCTGTTTTTAGTCCTCAGAGGTATGAATTTAATCATTCTTGCTACGACTGGGAGAAGAACGAGGTACTTTCCATCCATTCTTTGGCTGTGGACATGAGAGCCTCGAATGAACTGGTACTCTATTTTAAGTGAAGATTTTTCTAAAAGCCTTGATTTTTCCGCAACAGCCCCATGTGACAATAAGAACCTTGATATAAACAGAAATTTGCACAAACATGCTAAATGAAACCTGTAGATCTAAACTAATAACATCCAGCTGATGTTTGAGTTTTCCTCACTCTGCAAAAACACACAGTTTGTGATTTGGCATCTGAAAAAAATTCTAATTCCACTGGAAATCTGAACAAGAACACTTAGAACACCAGAGTTATCGATTTTATTATAGCGGTGAATATTTAAGACTTGCTTTTACTTTTTAACGCCTATGCCGTTTTGTATTATTTCCTAAATCAATAGTTAAGGTTATAGAAAACTCAACATTGTTCATCCAAATCTAAGTTTAGTTTTCTGATAATGGCCTCAGTTTGTGCTCGTAGCCCAAGAAGGCTACCTAAATATAAATTTACTATATTGAGGTGGGGTGGGCAATATAAGGTAGAAACTATATAAAATTGGGTAATGATAGTTTTTGGCTATATCGCAATACCGCGATAACACATGACGTCACTAAGATGAGCACCCTGCTGACAATGGGACAACAGAATGGCGGTGACTGCAAGCATGGAGTGGGCGGAGGAGGAGGCCTATATGCCTCAAGTGGCATATATTTGCCACATGAGGATATCTAAAAGCATGTCATTTTGACATATATAAACAGAGGAAAAAATATATCGCAATATATATCGTTACTGCACATGCTTCAGATTATATCACAATACAGATTTGAGGCCATATCGCCCAGCCCTATATTGAGGCTAAATTAGTTTCTGTAAAATAAACCAAACACACAGGAGAAGATTTAAAAACAAACATGAATGTGATTTAACAACAAAAGTGTTCATTTTAAGCAAAGCACGACACCAGTGAAACTTCCTCTTAAAGCTGAATAAATTAACAGTTTTCGCACAGCTTCAAATTGAAAAACAAGTACACACCTTGATTAAATTATTGTATTTCTAATCAGCTAACAGACAGGTCTGCATAAAGCTACATTTTGCATATCCTTTGAAGAAGATTGTGAAGGTCTTCTGGAAAATGTACCCAATTGTTTAGGGCTGGACCATCAAATGTTCTATACAATTGAAAACAGGCATTAAGGAATCTCACAGACCAGATTTAAACGTAACCATTTGGGCGCCAGTTTTTTTTCAAGATCATAATTAATTTTGACTCAAGCTGAACGATTGACTGCATATGCAATTAAATTGCGATGTGACTATTTTCTAATCACAAAGACTGCGATTTGACTGGCAGCGAGTGGTTAGCACAATGCTAATATCATGGAAAAACCCACAGGGATGCCAATTCTTTTTTGTTTCCTTAGTTGAAAATAATCATGAATTAAATCGCAATTGCAATATCGAAGAAAAAAACTTGCAATTAGATTACTTTCCAGAAACACTCAGCCCTAATTTTGACATGACAATTTCAAAAGGTTGTGGCTTGGAAATAGAGATAAAGGTGAACTGTAAGAGAAAAATCTTCAGTAAGACTTAAGTTTGTGTTGGGAGCAAATTCACTCATTTAATTTGCATATTATGACTTTACCAGGCTAGCCTGGCCTGCCAGACTCCTCTGTTTAATTCTGCACAGAGAAGGGGTCTGGGAACTCTCATTATTATTTTTTAACCGTGTCCCGTCTGGCTGTGAAGCAAACAGAATTGATGTCTGAATGCTGGTAACAAGCCTTACAGATTTACTCTCAGGTGGATCATCAAAGCGTCTGCTTCTAATGTCATGCCTGATACTTAAAACTTTGTTATTGTTTTTAAATGCTTTGTAATTCCGACCAAACATGGAGACAGAGGTGAAAGAGAAAGGAAAAGACAAAAGGTGGGAAGAGAGGGGGAAGGGGGTCCACAAAAATAAACAATAATGAACAAGAGTCTGCTTCTAGACCTGCAGAAAGAGGCAAGAAAAAAAAAACTAAAAATTATGGGACACAACAACAATACAAGATCAAGCTATCACTGCGTCAACTTGATGAAGAAATATATAATCAACATTGTTGATTATATACACTCACTGATGGTAAAAAGTAGTTATGTCCCTCCTTCCTTTATTTTGAAAGGGAAAAAAACTGACATTCCTCACAGCCATCTAGATATGAAATATGTTTCAGTAAAACCGTCCTTCCAAAATGACTGAAATGTTGACTCTTTTGAGATTTTCTCACTGTAAAATGCTCACTTTATTCTTACATACTGCACCTGTGAAGGGTACCTGGGATGCAAAATCTAAATAGTGAAAGGAGCTTTAGTTTCGTACCCTTCTTGCCGCAGTAGATGAACTGTCCAGTGTGAATTCCCTCAGCAGCGATGAAGAGCTCTGTCCTTTTCTTGAACCGGTATGGGTCACGGAAAGCCACTTTGGCAAGGGGAGCACCACGGCCAGGGTCATGGATGATATCCTGAGAGGATCAGGTATAAAACTTCACACCAGCCTCACTCTACAAGACCAAAACCAGTTCTGAAGCATCACCCACCTTCACAATCCCCTTGATGTAACCATGGCGTTCAGCGAAGTCAATGTGACGGAGTTTAGCAGCACCTTTCCTGTGCTTAACGTGGGCTCTGAACACAGAGCCTGCACCTTTTCTCTGTCCCCTGATCACACGTCCCATCGTGTTCTGAAACAGACAGCAGAGTACTTCAGGGCCACATTTAATTGGAATTTTACAAATCAATGCTTTGCAAGGCTAACAACGCTCACCCTGTCATTTTTAAACACTCTTAAACTAATAGTCAATTTTACATAAACGTTTGAGGTATTGGGACAAAAACATTAAGATTTTGACAGAGGGAATGTTAGAAAAACTATTATATATTTCCGCTGTTAGGGCCATATGAAAGCAGGTTTAACTTCACATGTCCACAACATCTTTTACGGTGTTAGCTTAGTAGCTAATACCGCTAACACCGTTCATTAAACAGTGAGCGAAGATTTACGTGTAGTCTTTTAATTTACAATCTTATTTCTCCATCGCCTTGATTAAAGTACCGTACATCTTAAAAACACAAATTGGTGAAGCACAGTAGCCGGCCTTTTAGTCGCTAACAGCGCTACCACTCCGCCATGTCACCAAGCACTTAAAATAGTTTAATATAGCTTTTGACAAGCCAACTGTTAAAATGCTACCTAAATTAAATATGTGAACATTTTGTGTACACATATAAGTATTAGTTTGATGTGGATGACACAGAAAAGTCATGATTAACAAGCGATGAAACGGTGAGAAGCAGAAAATAGCTGTCGTACCTAAACTCCGCTGACGGAAAGAGGAAGCACAAAGAAACATCGCACGTTTTCTTCCGGGGAAACTACTAAGGGAATGATGGGAAATGTATTCTTTAAAGGCGCGAACTAGACAGATGGTCAATTTAATTCAGAATGCAGTTGTATGGAACTCAAAAAATATTCAAAATGCTGTTTAATTCTGATTAGAGAAGGCCAGGATCCCAACTGTTGTCTGCAATTATTCAATTTTATTCAAAAGTCACTCAGGTTTGTAGACAACAATTCTGAGCTTTGTTGGTGCTTGGTGACAAAACCTTTAAAATCATTACTATCGTTTTTACAATAATAAAGTCTTTGTCTTTTTCTTATTTCGTTTACCTAAAAACACAATTCAATTTATATCTATGTAACAGTGTTTACACAATGGTTGTGTGCAGTGATAAATATCATCTGTCAGATCTGGTACCAGATCAGCAGTTTTGTTAATAAATTCTTGTTTGCTACTACCTAAATGTTTTCTTTATAATTGTAATTTATTAATAAAACACCATATTATATTTGTTTTATACAGAACGTGAAACTACATAAAACCGTCAGACTGCCAAAAAAGACAACAGTTCATATATGTGAAGCCACATCTGTTTGTATAAATGTGGAATTAGTCTGTATTTTTCCTTAGCTGCTATGTAAATTAATTAATTAATTAATTAATTAATTAATTAATTAATTAATTAATTAATTAATTAATTAATTAATTCATTCATTCATTCAAAATGTTGCTTGGTGTCTTTTCAGTAAAGTTCTTAAATTTTATTTTGCCCTATATTTCATAAAAATCAAGAGCTTTTGAGACTTTGATATCAGTTGATATCTTTGCATTTTATTTTACATTTACTTTGGAAATTCAAACACATTTTCTCCGAAAAGTGTTGATTTTGGGACTACAGGACTACAGCCACTAAGACTACAACCGTAAATTCATTCTGACCAATCAAAATCATCATTGTCAATGTGCTAACATAACTTTTACGGATGTGGTATCGTAACTTCTGCAAGTCTTACGTTCAGCCAATCATCTACTGTGACGTAATTTGCAGATGCGGTACCCCGAGCCGATCTGGCTGCACGAGCAGATCTGGTACTGACACCAGCCAGCCACTAAAAGGAGTTTGGTTTGTAAGTGAGAACGCACCCTCCAAAAATGGGAACGCCCTCTTCTTATTCGCTCCTGAAATGTTACTTCACCTTCGATATTTCAAAATAAGATACCTGACCTCTACTCAGGACGCTTTGGATCGGTGGGCAGAATACTTCGAAGACCTCCTTAATCCCACCGTCACATCTTCCAGTGAGGAAGCAGAGTCTGGGGACTTTGAGTTGGGCTCTCAAATCTCTGGTGCTGAGGTCACTGAGGTGGTTAAAAAGCTCCTTTTTGGCAAGGCTCCAGGGGTGGATGAGAGATGCCCGGTGTTCCTTAAGGCTCTGGATGTTGTGGGGCTGTGTTAGCTGACACGGCTCTGCAATATCGCGTGGACATTGGGGGCAGTCCCACTGGACTGGCAGACCGGGGTGGTGGTTCCCTTATTTAAAAAGGTGGACCGCAGGGTGTGTTCCAACTAGGGGTTCTGGAGAGGAGGGACCGTCGGATTGTCGAACCTCAGATTCAGGAGGAGCAATGTGGTTTTCGTCCTGGTCACGGAACACTGGACCAGCTCTATACCTTTAGGGCGATCCTGGAGGGTGCGTGGGAATTTGCCCAACCAGTCTACATGTGTTTTGTGGATTTGGAGAAGGCGTTTGACCGCATCCCTCGGGGGGCCCTGTGGGGGTACTCCAGGAGTATGGGGTACCAGGCCCTCTGATACGGGCTGTTAGGTCCCTGTTTGACCGGTGTCAAAACTTGGTCCGGCATTGCCGGCAGTAAGTCGGGCTCATTCCCATTGAGAGTTGGACTCAGCCAAGGCTGCCCTTTGTCACCGATTCTGTTCATAACCTTTATGGACAGAATTTCTAGGTGCAGCCAAGGTGTGGAGGGCATCTGTTTTGGTGGCCTGGGGATCAGGTCTCTGCTTTTTGCAGATGATGTGGTCCTGTTGGCTTCATCAGAACGTGATCTTCAGCTTTCGCTGGAGCGGTTCGCAGCCGAGTGTGAAGCAGCTGGGATGAGAATCTGCTCCTCTAAATCTGAGACCATGGTCTTGATTCGGAAAAGGGTAGAATGCCTTCTCCGGGTCAGGGATGAGGTCCTGCCCCAAGTGGAGGAGTTTAAGTATCTCGGGGTCTTGTTCACGAGTGAGGGAAAACTGGAGCGTGAGATCGATAGGCGGATTGGTGCTGCATCTGCAGTGATGCGGGCGTTGTACCGGTCTGTCGTGGTGAAGAGAGAGCTGAATCAGAAGGTGAAGCTCTCGATTTACCGGTCGATCTACGTTCCTACCCTCACCTATGGTCATGAGCTTTGGTAGAGACTGAAAGAACAAGATCGCGGATACAAGACGCCGAAATGAGTTTTCTCCGCAGAGTGACTGGGCTCTCCCTTAGAGATAGGGTGAGAAGCTTGGTCATCCGGGAGGGGCTCGGAGTAGATTCGCTGCTCCTCCACATCACGAGGAGCCAGTTGAGGTGGCTCGGGCATCTGGTCAGGATGCCTGCTGGACGCCTCCCTGGTGAGGTTTTCTGGGCACGTCCAACTGGTAGGAGACCTAAAGGTAGACCCAGGAGACGTTGGAGGGACTATGTCTCTCACCTGGCCAGGGAACGCCTTGGGATTCCCCAGAGCAGCTGGCCCAAGTGGCTGGGGAGAGGGAACTCTGGGACTATCGACTTAGGCTACTGCCCCCGCGACCCGACTCCAGATAAGCGGATGAAAATGGATGGATGGATATTTTCTCCGCTCATCTATCTATTCTCCGTCTACGTGAGCACGCTCTCCGAACCCGAACCGCCTCCTGCTTTATCAACAGTTTATACAAATATTAAACTCAAAACGGGAGACAAGGAATTAACTCGGAATGGGAGACTGCCAATAAGGCAGGACACAGACTTTTCTCCTCTACTTCTAGCCCAGCAGAAATGCCCCACGGCTGACTGGACCCTGCTCGGAGAGCGTGGAGCGGCTCACGTCAGACCAGCAACACAAAATGAAAGGGCAGGGTGAAGAAGTCAGAAAGAAAAACGTCTCTGTGCGTGTGTGTGTCTCTCCCTTGTGGAGCTGACGGAGAAGTATAACATTTACTCCAGTAACAGAGGTGCTGTGCCAAGTTTTATTTTTGGATGGGCCTTAATTAAACAAGTTATTATCAATAATGTTCCTCCCGTCATTTTTATTTCTCAAATAATAAATAAAAAATCACAATTAAATTTTCAATCATTTTTCATTAATAGTCTAAAAAAGCTGACCAGCATGTCCAGTACCATATTAATGTTACATGGTTATTTTTTTAACACAGAAAAGAGAAGAGTTGTTTTACTTTTTTTTTTTTTTTTTTGCTGACGTTTCAACCACCACTGCAGTCTTCTTCAGAGCTAACCACTGTTGGCCGCATCACTTTCTTGGTGTTGTCCCAGTCTATTGTGATTCTCCCTTGTACAGGTGTCTGTTACTGCAGATTTTTTATTGTACTTTCTTCTTCTTAATTAGCTGCTCTTGTGTGTCTTCAACTTGTTTCTTTTTTGCACTTTTTATATGTTCTATTGTTCATGGGTTGAAAGGACACATGATAGAACAACAAGAATAATAATGTATAAAAGTAAAACAAATACACATAAATAAGTTATCCAAACTCATCAACAAGAAAAAGAAAAAAGAAAAACAGGATAATGTCACACAAAACTCATGGGTATGTAACCTTTCACGATTCAAACTAATAGAAGTAGAAGAAAGCATAATATGCTGATGTTGTTACATGATGTTGTAGGTTGTCAACCTTTTTTTTTAATAACAACAAAATAATATAACAGTATCAGACAACATCTTGTCACAACATCATGTAACAACATCAGGTAACAAAATGTTACATCATGTAAAAACATCAGGTAATATCGTGTGACAACGTCAGGTAATAATATCAGGTAACAACATCATCTAACAACTTCAGATAACAACCTCAGGTAATAACATCACGTAGCATAATCTAACAACATCATGTAACAACGTCAGGCAATATCATCATGTAACAAGATCAGATAACATCTTGGTTTTGTAAAGGGTAGAATGCCTTCTCCAGGTCAGGGATGAGTCCTGCCTCAAGTGGAGGAGTTTAAGTATCTCAGGGTCTTGTTCACGAGTGAGGGAAAGATAGAACGTCAGATCAACAGGCGGATTGGTGTACCGATCTGTTGTGGTGAAGAGAGAGCTGAGCCAGAAGGCAAAGCTCTCGACTTACTGGTCGAATAAATCCTATGGTCACGAGCTTTGGGTAATAATAATAATAATAATGCATTGAACTTATATAGCGCTTTTCTAGACACCCAAAGACGCTTTCACACACTCTCACATTCACACACTGCTAGTGATGGTAAGCTACTTGTAGCCACAGCCGCCCTGGGGAGGTCTGACAGAGGCGAGGCTGCCATTTGGCGCCGTCGGCCCCTCTGACCACCACTAACACAGGCAAGTTGGGTGAAGTGTCTTGCCCAAGGACACAACAGCAGGATACCCCAGGCGGGAGCTGGAATCGAACCCATGACCCTCCGATCATGAGGCAACCTGCTCTACCACGGGTAGTGACTGAAAGAATGAGATCCTGGATACAAGCAGCCGAAATGAGTTTTCTCCGCAGGGAACGCCTAAGGGTTCCCCTGGAGGAGCTGGTCCAAGTGGCTGGGGGGAGGGAAGTCTGGGCCTCCCTGCTTAGGCTGCTGCCTCCACGACCTGACCCCGGATAAGCGGCCAAAAATGGATGGAAGGATGGATGGATGGCCTTCTTGTGAAGACAGCTACAAAGCTACAGAGAAACTAACTTGATTAACGTCAGAGCACAGGCGCACTGCACCGTTAACTCTGACTGTAAAGGAGGAAAAAGAAAAAATCTGATCCTTTTCTTACCTTTTCAACATTGTTTATTGTAAAGTTTCATTCAGTACAAAGATTAATGACAACAATCT